ACAACATGAGTCAGTTCACGTTGGGGCCAAGATTGGGGTCTGGTTGGGGTGGGCTATGCTGCAGTACTCACCAGTATGAACTGGAACTGGGGATAGGCCAGACCAGATCAGGCTACAGCACCATCTGACGAATGCCGGGGGTGAGACAGGCCGTGCAGACTGGGCTGCAGCACTTACCAGCACACAAGAGACCAGGGAAAAGGGATGTGAGCCCTCGTAGGAGGGTTGCAGGGGCCTTCCCTGCTGGACCACTGCTTCCACTGTTAATTGTAAGAGCTAGGATTGGGAACAGACCAGGCCAGGCAGGGCTACAACACCTGTTGGTTGTTGTATATTGCGTAAGCCAGAGTGGGTGCAGTCTGGTTGGACTTTGCCGCAGCATCAGCTGGTGTGCGTTAGGACTGGGGGCAAATCTGTCAAGCTAGACTGCAGAACCACCTGGAGAGTGTGAGATCCAGGCCTGGGAGTCCGGCCAGTAGGGAAACTTGGTTGCAGTTCTCACTGCTTTCTCATGGCATTTCAGAACTATTGAAGCTCCACACTGGGGACCCTGGGATGACATCAGGTGCCATTCCCCTTTCCCAGGTACTGAGGTGTTCGGGAGGCTGGATGCGCCTTCTCCTTATCTCTCCCCTTCCGTCAATATAGGAAGAAGTAAAAAGAGAATGTGGAAGCAATGATCTCACCCACTTTCTCCTAACCCCCACCCTTCCCAACCTAATCAACCATGTAAGCATCATATAAAAAGGTCATATAAATATCTTTTAAGTAATAAAATGTATTATTTATTTGAAAGAGCGAGAGAGAATGCATACATGTGCTGAGTTTTTGCATTCATTGGTTTGTTTGGGGCTGGTCCAGGCCTAAACTCATTTGTTCTCCCATGGGGTGGCGGCTCAACTACCTGGGCCATCTTCTCTGCCTTTCTAGATGTTTTGACAGGGAGCTGGACTGAAGGAGCAGCCAGGACCGAAACTGGTGCCTCCAGGATGGGCTGTTGGCTCGTAGTTGTGGCTTTAGCTGACTGTATACCACAATTCAAGCCCACGTCAACTTTTTGTTTGTCCTGAAATATTTTACACAGGATATGTAGGCTAACTATGTGTTTAATTCTTTTGTTTTATTTGCTAGTTTTTACCACTTTTAAAAAGTATCATTTTGAGAGGCTGGCATTGTGGTTCAGCAGGCCAAGCTACCACCCTGTGACTCTGCCCTCCCACGTGGGCACCCTCTGGGATTGCAGCAGCCCCACATTGTCCCTGCTGGCCATCTGGGGAGCGAACCAGTGGACGGAAGATCTCTCTGTCTCTGTGTATGACTATGCCTTTCAATTTAATGTTTTTTTTTTAATTTTAAGATTTATTTATTTGAAAGACAGAGCCATAGAGAGGGAGAGAGACACACAGAGACCGTTCATCCACTGGTTCACTCTCCAAGTGGCCGGAGTGCTTCCAGTAGGGTGGCAGGGGCCCAAGGACTTCGGCCATCTTCCCAGGCAGATCAGCAGGGAGCTGGTTTGGGATTGGAGCAGCTGGGACCTGGAATGGTGCCAACATGGGCTGCTGGCAACACAGGCAGCAGCTCAGCCTGTGGAGCCATGACATTGGTCCCTGAAACAGATTTTTTTTTTTAAAGAAAAATGATCATTTTGAACTCATGCACTTATATATACTTTTTCAATCCATCTGCCACTTTTCTTGTTTAAATAATCTGATCATCCTGTCTTAGACCAGTGAGCGCCTCTGTCATCCTCGTTAAACCTCATTCATTTTTGATGAATTTCTTGCTTTGGGACACAGTGAAAGTATCCTAGCTGGGATCATCTTGAAATTTGCTGCCTGGACTTGAACTTTGCATTTTTTCAAGGAGACCAAGCTTGGAGAGATGTTTGAAGGGATCGAATTAAACAGCGTGTAAATTGTCAGCAGTGTTCTCGTCATGTGTTTGAGGCGTCCTGTGCAATAGGAAATACCAGTAATTTCTGCAGGTTGGATTAGGCATTTTAAGACGAGCTGGGCAACCAATATGGAAAGAAAATGAAAACTCGGCAGCCCATTGCAGGAGAGAAATAATGAGGATGTGTGAAAGAACGCGCGCGTGGGGGACGGGGAGCCCACGAGGCTGAGTAGAGCATGGGGCGCCTCTTGGGAGGAAGGGAAGGCTCTTGTGTTTGGAATTGGCTTGGCAGTCTGATTTCAGCAAGCTTGATCCCACACTAGGGATAAGCACTTAAAAGAGGGGCTCCTAGTTTAATAGTTTATCCTTTTTTAGATAGCATTTGTTTTTTAAGGCAGGGGGTTCTCATATAGGAATTTGTAACATATTTTTGAAAAATTAAGAGACTCAAGCCCAGCACGGTAGTCTACTGGCTAAAGTTCTTGCCTTGCATGCACCAGGATCCCATATGGGCACTGGTTCTAATCCTGCAGCCCCGCTTCCCATCCAGCTGTCCGCTGTGGTCTGGGAAAGCAGCCAAAGATGGCCCAAAGCCTTGGGACCCTGCACCCATGTGGGAGACCCCGAAGAAGCTTCTGTCTCCTGGCTTTGGATTGGCACAGCTCTGGCTGTTGCAGCCACTTGGGCAGTGAATCATCAGATGGAAGATGTTCCTCTCTGTCTCTCCTCTGGGTATATCTAACTTTCCAATAAAAATAAAGTAAATCTTCACACACACACAAAAAGAAACAGAAAAATTAAGAGACTCGTGTCTGGGTCCTGTGTCAGAACTGCTGGATACCCGATTGGTGAGTCTAGGTCCAGCTGCTTTTCAGAAGCGCCCACGGGATTCTGTTTTGTGCGCCTCTGGTGAAGGCCTGCGGGGCCCATGAGTAAACCCAGGCAGTTCGTTAAGTGTCTGCACTTGTAGCAGTGAGGATTGGTGTTAGTCATGCAACAGGGCTGAAATGAAAAGGGGCAGAATAATGGAAATCTGCATGTTACAAGTTTTTGTATAATATTCATGAACAGCGTTAACATAAAGCAAGGGGTCAAAGAGGAGGAAACAGATGAGTCCCGTGACGGGAGGCTGGTGTGGTGGGCGGACGGGCGGACGGGCGGACGGGCGGGTGGGCGGGTGGGCGGGCGGATGGGCGGACCCGCTGCCCCAGCACGGGCGAGGAAGGGGCTCTGTCCCTGCGGGTGTGGAGGCAGCAGTCTGTCAGAGGGAGTGCGGGCCCACGTTTCCATCCTTATGTCTTGCTGTTTTTTTTGATGCTCCGTTCCTTGTTGGCAAAGCGCTCCACTCCAGTGAATGTGCTGTGCTCCTTGGATCAGGAGTTTGACTGATGTTACCCAGCAGTATCGAGTATATTAAATAATGTAAATGGAAAAAAACAACATTGCAGCAAATAAAAAAATTAGTATGAAAATATACTCATTTGCCACAATAATCAGTAAAGTAAGCAAGAAAGATTTACTTATTTGAAAGGCAGGGTTTAAAAGAGGGAAGGAGAGACCTAAAGATAGCTTCTGTCTGCTGGCTTACTCCCCACATGTTCAAAATGGCCGGGTTGGGCCCGGCTGATGCTGGGAGCCTGGAACTCCTCCCAGGTCTTCCAGCAGGATGGCAGGGCCTAAGCATTTGGACCATCTGCTGTTGCTTTCCCAGACCCGTTAGCAGGCAGCTGGGTTGGAAGCAGAGCTCCCCGGGCAGTGGAATCAAAGAGTAGTTGATTAATTCATTCCTTCAGCAAACGTTGGGCTCATTCTTCAGACACCAAGTGCTAGCACTGCAGTCAGGCATTCTCTTGCACGTTCGGGTGCTGGTGTGAGGGGCAGGCAGCAGCTGTGTTCCGAAACTTAAGGATACTAAAAGTGGTGAGGGACGTGAGCTGCTGTTGGAGGTGCTGGCACATTCCGTGAGGGAGGGGTTCGAGTCCAGGCTCCTTTTCTGCTCTGGCTTCCTGCTGCTGTCTTAGGGAAGACACCCACCCAGGTCCCTACCGCCCCTTGGGAGACCAGAATGGAGTTCCTGGCTCCCGGCTTCTGCCTGGCCTGGCTCTGGCCGTGCGGCCACTGGAGAAGTGAACTAGTGGATGGAAGATCCTTTCTTTCTTTATCTATCACCGTGCCTTTCAGATAGATAACAAGAATAATGACGTATAGAGGGACATTTTCATTTTTATTTATTTATTTTTGCCTTTCCTTGCAAAGCGTCGGTAGTATTGTATAGTTAGAGGTTAGCATTCCTAGTCTCTACTGAATTACACAGAATAAAATTAGACTTAAGTTCTTTTAGGTTCTCTGATAGTTTGACTTTGAGACTTGTTAAAGTTCTCCCTGCTTGGTGCGTCAGGAAGATGTTTACATCATAGGCATTATTTACATTTCTTCCTGACCTGGAGGTTGTTTCTGGTGGAAGTTACTTGTGCACGTTTTTTCACAGAATAGTGTTGGTTTTGTTTGGCCGAGAGGGAAACTGTTGCTCTGGAAAATGCAGCTTTGTTCAGTAGTGAAGTGTGGTGGTTGGGTTCTGCCATGGTCTGTGAGCCTTTTCTGCCCATTGTTCTTGGTGTTTGGGGTTCTCCAGGCTAAAGCAGCTGGCTAGATCTCATCGCTTATTGCTATTTAATCCTATGCTGGTATCATATAACTAAGTATTTCAGTCTTTAATTATAGAAGGTTTGGTATATTTCTTGGAAAAAAAAAGAGAAGTTGCTTTGCAGATGGAAAGTTACCTGATTGAGCGACATAAACAATTTTTTTTTACTGTATTACTAAAGATTGATATGGAAATACAGAAAGCAAGATAGATACTTGCTAGGTTGTAGTTATATTTTCCATCAGTAAGTCTAGGGACTTGGTGCGAGTGGTAATGGACGTGGAGGAAGTACTGGCGTTCCACACTTGTTCTGCTGGCAGCGTGATCCCAGGCAGGCCGGGCGGAGCCTTTGCGGAGTGCAGACATAAGCCCAGGCCGGAGCTGGCACGCTGCAGCTAGCGGGCGCTCCTTCGCTCTCACCACCCTGTATGATCTTTTTTTTTTTTCATTCTTCTTAAAGGACACTTGAGCATCACTGAGCAGAGACTTCGCTTCTTTTCTTCTGGACTGTGGCTGTGTATCCTGAGGCCGGCAGAATGTCGGGGGCCTCGGTGAAGGTGGCTGTGCGGGTGAGGCCCTTCAACTCCCGAGAGACCAGCAAGGAGTCCAAGTGCATCATCCAGATGCAAGGCAACTCGACCAGTGAGTGCTCCACTGCTGTTGGCATTGTCGGTGCTGTGACTGAGCTGCTCACCGTCACCCTCTCCTTTGTCCCCTCTCTAAACGAGTGTGTGTGTGTGTGTGTGTGTGTGTGTGAGTGTGTGTGTGAGTGTGAGTGAGTGTGAGTGTGTGTGTGAGTGTGTGTGTGTGTGTGTGTGTGTGTGTCAGTGCCTGGACTTGGCCACTGGATGTTGTCACTACTGGATATTTGCTGCAGTGCTTAATTCTTTGCTGTTTACTCCTTACAGTTGTGAAACTGAGGAACTGAATTAATTTGGTGGTAATGTGTGTTAAGTTGAAATCTTAATGATAATGTTGTAAGTGGTAATTTGTGTTAAATCCGGATGGGACCAGCTTTGTCCCTGCCTAACCACATCCCTAATACATACCTGGGAAGGCAACGGGGTGACTCAGCTGTGGGCCTCTGTCTGTGGAGACCAGGCTGGAGCTCCTGGCTCCTGTTGTCAGCCTGACTGCTGCTGGTTCCTGTGGCCCTCTGGGGGGTGAACCAGTGGATGTGTGGTCTGCCTGTCTCCCCCTCCCCACCTTGTCTCTCTCCCCCTTTCTCTCTTTCAAACAAATAGTCCCTACACGAAATATACTTTATATTGAGACCCTGGGGTTTGTGGTTTTTCTTTCTTCATTTGAAAATAAATTGCTCAGATTCATATCTTGCTAAAGTACAAGCTTCTGTAGGGGCTTGGGATCCTGCCTGCCAGCCCCATGGGAGACCCAGATGAGGTTCCTGGCTCCTGAAGGTCTGGGTCCTGAACCTGTAACTTTTTTTTTTTCGAAAGATTTATTTATTTTTATTGGAAAGTCAGATATACAGAGAGGAGGAGAGACAGAGAGGAAGATCTTCTGTCCGATGATTCATTCCCCAAGTGATCACAACAGCCGGCGCTGCCCCGATCTGAAGCCAGGAGCCAGGAACTTCTTCCAGGTCTCCCACATGGGTGCAGGGTCCCAAGGCTTTGGGCCGTCCTCAGCTGCTTTCCCAGGCCACAAGCAGGGAGCTGGATGAGAAGTGGAGCTGCTGGGACTAGAACCGGCGACCATATGGGATCCAGGCGCCCATGTGGGATAGCGGCCACTGGGCTGGCCTGAATTGTTACACTTTTAAACAAGCTACTACTGAAGTAACCATTTTATCCTCACCTACTTGTGTGCCAATTGCCAGTGTTCTTATGGAGGAGTCTTATCAACTGGCAATGTTGGTTTCACAAAAAGCTATACTTTGTAGCCGGTATTTCAGAGTTAGTCACATACAGCTTTGAAGTTTCTCTTGTTCTCGATCTTCTGAATTGGATCAGAGGGCTCGTAACAATGTCTTTTTTCAAGATTACAAAGTAGCTGTCTAAAAAGCTGTAACATTGTATTTGTCAATTGTGCCAGTGATTTAGGAAATATTTAGGGATGAAACAGAAGCAAAAACCACTGTTTATGATAATAGTCTAAGTACTGCGGCTGGCTGGATGGCATAGTAAGTAAAGCTGCTGCCTGCCGTGCCGCTACTCCTTATGGGCATTCAAGACCTGGTGCTTCACTTCTGCTCCAACTCCCTTCTGGTGCACCTGGAAAGTGTCTGGGAGGCCAGGGGAAGCTTTGAGCAGCTGGCTTCAGCCTGCCCCAAGCCCTGGCTCTCGTGGCCATTTGGGGAGTGAAGAAGTGGTTGGGAGATCTCTCTGTAGCTCTGCTTTTTAAATAAATAAAACTGATATTTAAACATTGTAAGAAGAGCATGAAACAGTAGTTTATTGATGATCCAGGAAAAAGGAGATTAGAATATGTAGTAAAATTTATGAGCCTTTTGTAATTCTTGGTGTTTCTGATTTTGGGTGGTCACAAGGAATGAACCCCAATTTGCTTCATCTCTTTTTTCTTTATAAAATTTTTCTTTGAAAGGGAGAGGGAGGGAGGGGAGAAAGAAAGGAGAGAAAGGGAGAGAGACATACATACAGACACTGGACAGAGACACGAGAGAATGAGATCTTTCATCTGTTGATTCACTGTCTAAATGGCTGCAGTGGTTGGGGCTGAGCCATGCCGAAGCCAGGAGCCTGGAACTCCAGCTGGGTCTCCTGCGGAGGCCGAAGGGGTCCAAGTAATTGGGCCAGCATCGGCTGCTCTCCCAGGCACATTATCTAGGAGGGAGCTGGGTCAGAGGTGGAGTGGCTGAGATGTGAACTAGTGTGGACACGGCAGGTTAAAGCTTTACCCGCTAAAAGCCCCTTGTTTTGCTTGATTTCTCATTTTGTTATTTATTGTATATATGAAATAAAATAATAAATAGGGTGTTGAAGTCTGTTTCTAAAATGTATAATTCCTTTTTTGCCCTATTATTTTGATGTATGCAAACTAAATTGAGTTAAAATAAACTAAAGTAATCCAGATATTATAGTCACTTAGGGTGAAGGCTTTTCACATGTTTTCATTGTGGTAGAGAAGAATCTGGAGAAGCTAGGATTTAGGGGCGGCCTGTGGGAGGTCCGGGCGGGGTTCCTGGCCGTGCCCTGACCATCCAGGCCATTTGGGGAGGGAACCGGTAGATGGGAGATTCTCCTTTTTACTCTCTCTCTCCTTTTCTGTCACTGTGCCTTTCAAATAAATAAGCAAATATTTAAACAAAAAAAGGAAAATATGATGTTAAAAAATAGTGTTCCTAGTTGCTTCTTTTTGCAAATAGGGATATAAAATTTGAGTTTGTAAGGATGTGTAAGTTACCACCTTCAGAATGTCTGGGATGTTTAAAAATGGGCGACACAGTACAGAACTGCTTAATTTTTGTTGATAGTAATTACTCTGGTCCAATGGGTTCTTTCTAGAGCGTGAGCAGAGCTTTAGGAAACTCATGGAAAAGACACATTTTATTTATATACACGTACACACGTACATATATGAGTGTGTGTGTGTGTGTGTGTGTGTGTGTGTGTGTGTGTGTGTGCGTGCGGAGATCTCAGCATTGGCCACTCTTGTTAGCGGCAGACTCAAGGAGCAGATAATGGCACTCCTGACCCTCTTCCCTCTAATACATTGCCTCCTTGCATGTGAAATTCCAGCTGAATTCATGTTCGTTTACTGACCTAGAATTGCTCATTGGATAAGTAAGCCTCGGGAAAGCTCTAGCTTAATGCTTCGTCATGGAGCGTGGGGCTCAGGTTATTTTGATTCTTTTGAAGGGTAAAGCAACTTGTGAGGAAACTGTCATATCTACTGGACCAGAAACTTTTCCTCTAGGAATTTTTGTGCTTTCTGTTTTCAATTTTATGTGGCCACTTCTTAGTAATTTGATATATCAAAATAGTTTGAGAGATTTTGAGAGGCATTTATAAGGAAGATGCTGTATTTAGAAAGCATTCATGATTTGTTTTAAAAGAAAAGCTTTGCACTTAGATTAGTAGAGTGCATGCATTGTGAGCATAGCATAGTTGCAAAAGAAAAAAAAGATGAAATGAATGTGCCATAGCCACATGTGTGAGCATCTGATGACGGCTGCTGCGTGGGCAGCCTGGCCGGCCTGCTGCTCCCGCGAGCTGCAGCTGCCTGCAGATGGAATGCCGTGGAATGTTCCTGCAGAAAGGGGAAGAGCTAAGAGAGCACTTTCAGGAATGCCGGAGCTGAGACCGAGTCCTGGCCCTTTTATTTAAGAACCTTCTGGAACAAATGCTTTCCACAGCAGAGTGATGTTGGGCATTTTGGAGTCCCAAGAACAGACAGCCGGCTTTGTTCAATAATATCCCATTAGAGTCCACGTTTCTTTCACATAGGAAACTTAAAAAAAAAATTATTCATTTGAAAGACAGGCAGAGAGAGACATGAAGAGAGTCTGAGTGAGAGAGTGTTCCTGTGAGCTGTGGCCCCAGGGCTGGGGACCAGGGATGCGCTCCCCAGGGAGATGTCTCCAGGTGACAGAAGCTCGGTTCCTGCTGCTGGGCAGGGAGCGTTAGTGGGAGGGGTTCACATCCAGCAGTGCTGACGTGGGCCTCGTTGTCACCAGGCCAGACAGCCACCTCCGGAAGTATTTTCTATTGTCTATTTTGCGAAAAGGAAATTAGGGCAAAGTTAATGATGTAAATGTTTACACTTACGGTTACAGAATCAATCGACCTTCAGAAATTCTTTCAGTAAAAGAAGTGAATAAAACTGGTTTTCACTTATTATGCTTTGTTTTAACTACCTTCTAGCTCTTGCTTGTTGGTAAATCTTTGTAATAGATTTATGAAAATACTATGCCTAGGTTCTTATTTTTATCTTTCAGTATTCAATATTAGTAGGAATGATAATTTTATTGCTCATATTGTCTTTTTTAAGGCATTTTTGCTTGGGCATGTATATTTGTAGACCAAATGCTGCATATCAAACTGATATCAAAGATGATTTCATCTCTGAAAATTTGGGCTGGAGCAAAGGCAGGGACGAAGCGGAGGTCACAGATGAAGGGATCGGATCTAGAGAGGAATGCTTTTAAACTGGTTTGCCTTTTCTAACATACATTAGTGCAACTGCATGGAGTAAGTGTAATTGTACATAGACTGTCCTTAGGGATATTCTAGATAATAAAGAAGTGGGGAAGAAAAATGGTCTCCTCTTCTCTCCTTACCGTAGCCCGCTGCTGCCTTTGGGGGGGTTTTGTTGCTCCAGTTGGTCAAACAGCTGGAGTATTTACATCATTTTGGTATCTATTCCCTTTCCTTCTGGTTAGTCTAACTCTCACTTGTATTTTAGCCTGGATTTCTTTTCTCAGGACCTGTAATTACACTTCTGTGTCTGTTGAGGCGGGAGCCTTTTCAGTTCTCTGTAAAATGTGTGTTTTCCTGGGGCGGGGGTGGTTGTTCAGGATGCCACTCGGCATCTGTGTCCCTCGTACAAGGCTGAGAATCGGCACGGGGGCTCTCGGGCTGTAGCATTTACATCCAGGTTGTTTCCACTAGGCCAGCGCTGGGTGGAGCTGCCTCCTGAATTACTGCTTCTCCATGGTGAAT